AAAAGGCGTGATGTTATGTTATGTTATATTATGTTTTTGTATTGTTTTTTGAATAAAGCAAAAGGTACCTGATATTATTACTCCACGTTAAACGCCATTGGGGTCACTGGTGTCGGTCACTAATGACCCCCATGTTAGCGGAGAATTTGCCTTCAATAGTTTAGCATTGGCAGTCAAAGCCTTCAAATCATGTTTTGTTTAGATAGTTACATGTAGATTCAAAAGAAAGCCTGATTTTACTGCAAAAATCAGCATTTGACTGCTTTATTGATCGCTTTTCACTTAATATTTTGGGACAGTCTATATCTAGTCAAGGCCGTCAGGGTTAAGCATCTCCCAGCACCTTGGTTAACTGATGAAATAAAGAAACTGATTGCTAAAAAAGCTGCTGCAAAATTTAAATTTAAGATCCAGCCGAGTGTCAGCAACAGGGAAAAATACATTAGGATTAGAAATCAGTGCAACAAGGTGTGCAGGAATGCTAAACGCCAACACATCCATAGATCAGTTCAAGATAGTGATCCGGCTAAAGTGTGGAAGTTCCTCAAATCACTAGGTATCGGAAAACCTACTCAAGACCCTATACCTAAAGATCTAGATCTTAACTCTCTTAACTCTCACTTCTCCTCCTCGGTCGCTTTAGATATGGCCGCCAAAACTTCCACTTTAAACTTCCTTTCGTTACTTCCGCTACCTGATTTTCCTCCGTTCGTTTTCAGTCAATTTACTGCATGTGAGGTTAGGAGGAGCATTCTGTCGACGACATCGAATGCCGTTGGTGGTGACTGTGTAAGCCGCAAAATGATAATTCCTATCCTAGATCAAATTACTCCTATCATCCTTTTTGTCCTAAATTCCTCTGTCTCCAACAGAGCTTTCCTCAGATTTGGAAGGAAGCTCACGTAATTCCTCTTCCCAAGAAAACAAATCCTGCTTCTTTTTCCGATTATCGTCCTATATCCATTCTTCCTTTCCTGTCCAAGATCCTAGAAAAACTTATCCATCATCAACTTAGTTCTTTCCTTACCAAGCACAATTTCCTCAGTCCCTACCAATCTGGTTTTCGTCCGGGTCACAGCACTACCACGGCTCTCGTAAACATTACCGATGACATTAGGTCGAGCATGGAGATGGGGAAGTTGACGGTACTTGTCCTGCTCGATTTTAGTAACGCATTTAATACCGTTGACTTCGACATTTTGCTTGCCGTACTCAGCTCTCTTAACGTATCCCCATCGGTAATTGACTGGTTTCGCAGCTACCTATTTGGTCGCCGGCAGCGTATTCATTGTGAGGATCGTTATTCTTCATGGTGTTGTACTGCTTCCGGTGTGCAGGGTGGTGTTCTATCCCCTTTACTCTTTGCGCTATTTATCAACTCTATCTCTAATGAACTCTCTTCTTCCTTCCACCTTTATGCCGATGATCTACAGATCTACACAAATGCTTCACTGCATGAGTTACCTGATGCTATTGCGCTGATCAACCGTGATATGGCACGAATTAGTGACTGGAGCATGAAGTTCGGGCTACATATTAATCCATCAAAAACACAAGTGATGGTTGTCGGCAGCTCAAGGACTGTCTCTAAAATAGACTGGTCTACTCTTCCCCAAGTATGTCTACTTAAAACAAAGATTCCTTTTTCCTGTGAAGTCAAGAACTTGGGGATTTACATTGATAGTACTCTGTCCTGGTCTAAACAGGTGCAGGAGGTCAGCCGCAGGGTGTTTGCCTCGGCGGGCGCCCTGAGGCGTTTACGGAATTTCTTACCCACTGCTACTAAAATTGCATTAGCACAATCCCTACTTCTACCAATTCTCGACTATGCTGATGCCAGCTATCTTGATCTCACCCAAGAACAATTAGACAAGCTTGAGCGACTTCAAAATCTTTCCATTAGGTTCATATTTGGATTGCGCAAGTATGACCACGTCTCTGAGTTCCGCAACAAGCTCAAATGGCTGCCTATTCGCCTTCGCCGGAATACTCATATTCTTTCACTTCTTTACAATATACTTTTTAATCCCACTACCCCTACCTATCTAAAAGAACGTTTTACGTACCTTGGCGATACACATTCGAAGTTTTTGAGATCATCGGAGAGTCTGAAATTGAGTATTTGTTTGCATTCCACTTCCTTTTTAGACAAGTCCTTTACAGTGCAAGCAGCTCGGTTGTGGAATGCTTTACCGATTGCAGCGAGGCGAGCTCAATCCATATCGCAATTTAAAAAACTTGTTAAAGAGCATTTCCTCTCTTTATAATTTTATATCCTATCTTAACCACACACACACATACACACACATACACACACATACACACACATGCACAAATACACACCATTATGTAATTTATGTATCATATTGTATATTGTATATTGTATAGGTATTATTTTATTTTTATTTATTTTATTTATTTTTTTTTGAGTTGTAGTTGTATTTTTGTATTCTGTGTATAGTACTTTATAAAGTTATTAATTATTGTACACTTGACGACCCATATCAGACTCCTATTACTGCTCCATCCAAAGGTTGTCTGTAAGAAATCGCCTTGTGCGATAAGACCGCCCATTGTACACTATTTTTGTTAATATTTATCCTATAATGTGATTGTGTGGTGTACAATAAAGCATATTATTATTATTATTATGTATGTCTTTACCATTCACGGGACCACAGGGTCCCGGTCATTTGGGAGGCGTACGAGGGGCCGAAGCCAACTGCGCAGAGGCCCTTTAGACAACTTTAATATAAATGTAATGGACACACAAACCGGCGACTATCCCTGTATGCACTATGGAAATGCACCCAAGGACAATCCCCGGTTAGTGTAGGACTATTGTGGATAATGGAAAAAAAAGGTAGGGCTATGGATGGGTTGCTGTGGACTGGTAAATTAGGAACTATGGATGACTATGGCACCTGCCGAAACAATGTAATTTTTACACGTAAAAATGGCAGGCGGAGACTCGCCAACTCACCGACCGGGCCCCGGGAATGGTTGCTAGATATAGCAACAGAGGGGCAACGAGAATGTGAGTGGCTGAAGGGTTAAGAAACTACCACCGCTTTCTACTCAGATCATCTGCTCCAGCCGAAGCCTCCTGCATCCCTGGCCCACTCGCGACTTACGAATAGTTTCTTACCCTCCGAGCAGGATCACTGCTCTCGCGACTCCACTCTGGACGGCCAATGAAGGCAAGCCAGAGGTGGGAGACCTGTTCCTTGTCATCGTTCACTCCAGCCAGCCAATTAAGGCAAGCCAGAGAAGAAGGAACGGTGACTTCTCCCTGGAGCACTCGGGATGATGGTAGCCCGCGGGATCGCTAATGCCCGTCACCTCGCCTCAAGGTGCCCTGCGGGCTTATTATTATTATTATTATGGGATAATAATGGGACAATATGACACATTTTTAAAGATTTTTGATTTGTTTATAGTAAATGTTTTTTTTGCATTTAATTAAGAGATAAATAACAATTACGATTAATAGGGCCTACAATTTACTCGAGCCTACGGCGCGCGTCTCTAAGAGCCATCAGACCATCACGGATGGGGTTCAATAGGGCTGATGCCGATACAGAGCCGCGGAGAACCTAACGGCTTACCGGGGCTCTGGTTCGTTGTGCAGGAGTAGGACGGGGTGGTTTTTAGTCAATAAGACACTGAACTCCCTCCCTCCTCACCCAGGCGGTAGAAGTCATTCGATGATTTTCCGCCTAAAAAAAGTGCTTACAATTTACTCCACCATGAATCAAATCACAAAGATTTGATGCACAAATATTGTAAGTCAAAGTCAAAAGTTAAAATCATTTATTTCAATTAGACCAGGAAGGCACTTTTGAACGTCAACATAAGACTTCATGTCATTATCAAAATACATCAGTAAAACTGCTATATTAAATTGGCTCTAGCGATTTTACTTCGAGAACCAATAGTAGCAATTTCCATTCATGACTAAAGACAAAGTTACGTCCATTCGGAAACTTATATAGTTTTGTTTAGTAAGTGTTGGACCGAATGTCGAATGTAGGTGTTTTTCTGTTAAATATTTTAGTTGCGTAGATAAACTGTAGTTATTTTTGCTGAATAACCTTTAAGGTACGGAGAAACGTTGTTTTTCTTAGAATAGTTAATTTAATTATCGTTTCTAGGTATTGAAATGAATTGGGGACGAACCTTTGTCCCTAAAGCGGATGTTTCCTAATAAGCAAACACTATTATTTCGGTATCTTCGAAGTCTGTTTTAATTATTTGGTTTAGAGGACTCATTTAAAAACAACAGTGGCTACCATTTGCTCGAAATATACTTGAATTCTATACCAAAAGACACCTCGATCATAATTATATTCCGTCCATGTTTAAAAAAGTTGAGGTAACAATACAATTATTAAGTTAAGTGTGGGAGAGGTATGCTTCGGTGCGAACGGGTCGGCTCGACCAGAGTGATACCACGGCCTCACAGAAAACCAAAGTGAAACAACGCTTGCGTTGTATTTCGTCGGGTGTGTGAGATTACCGGAGGCCTAACTACTCCCTACTCCCTCCCCCTTCCCCAATCTCTCGAATCCCTGAATCCCTGACATTCCTCAAATTCTAATCTCCAAAAAACGCCGGTATCGCACTTGTAACGCCTTTGTTGTTCCAGGTATCCACGGGCGATGCCGATTGCTTACCATCAGGGAATCCGTCTGCTCGTTTACCGGCTTATCCTATACAAAAAGTCTGGGCTATTTTTTCAGTAAACAACAGTCATTTCAACAGAGCTATTCAGCTGTAACTTTATCTTTGTACATAATGTAGCATATAAAGGATACAATGTCCAGCGTCCTTGTAAACCTGCCTGCTCTGTGATAAGACATATTTATAAACAGTAAACAGCATTTAAAGCTACAGATATCCGATATAAACTGACCTTCTGTTAGATAATTCTTCTGCTAAGTGAGAGGTTAACTTATAATGGAGAGTATTGTCCAAGGTGCGGCCGTAGGAAGCTAAGAATAAACTTGTTAGAGTTAGTTTAGCTCTTTAATATAAAATAGAGTTAATATGTTTTAGTTAAAGTGAACTTCTTTTATTTATTTTCTTTGGTTTAATAAGATTTTCTCAATAAGTATATTATTATATGCATGGGAACTGTAAAGTTAAGCATAGGTAAATAATATCTTCATGAAACTGACTTCATGAAATTTTTTTCAAAGAAATTTACGGTACTCTCTTTTAAGGGGGGGAAATCATCGAATGACTTCTCCCGCCTACGCGAGGCGATTAAATTGGTTAATTAATAGGTATGTTTATAAGTGTCAAATTCGGTTCAGTCAATCGCGAAACACAAACATATATACATATATATATACAGGTCAAAATGAGAACCTCCTTCTTTTTTGACGTCGGTAAAAAAAGATAGTTTCAACATCATCATCAACAGCCTATAAATGCCCACTGCTGAGCAAAACCTCTTCTCACACGGAGAAGGTTAGAGCATTAATCTACAGATCTACAGTTTCAACATAATCAATAACAATTTAACGGACAGGTTATTCAAAATTCCCTACATGCCACACTAACCCGTAAATGGTTCATCAATTATTCGCCACGTATTTGACCGTTCGCATACATTTTGTATGAGTATCACACTAAGTTCCCATATTGCTTGTCTTTGGGCTCTAAGATTAGAGTTTGATTTTCTAAGAGAACTCAGAGATTTTTAAACAAGAATAAAAAACACACATAACATCACGCCTTTATCCCCGAAGGGGTAAGCAAAGGTGTACATTATGGCACTTAATGCCACTGTATAATGTAACATCCAATTTTAACTATTTATGTTATGAGTCCCATGTAATATGGGATGAGCCTATTGCCATATACCGGGCACAATTCCAGACTCCGTGTTACTACTGAGATTTTTTGAAAAAGCCCAGTAATACTTTGCCCGACCCGGGAATCGAACCCGAGACCCCTTGCCCGGCTTCGCAATTCCGATCACTCTGCCAACGAGGCAGTCAAGGTAAGAATTAAAAAAATATTAATATAAGCTCAATGTTGGGATGAGTATCCCAACAAATGACTCAAGAACTAGCTCAGCTTCAAGCCTCCCAAGTGTAAACTGTTTTCCCATTTCAGAATTCACAATAAAATTATTGAGATCTGTTTGATGAAGATAAAGTGACCTCTGTTTTCAAAACCTCTTCATCATTGGTATAACGAGACTGGTTATAGAACTGCAAGAATACACACAAATCTGGTTACCTCGTAGAAGATGCATGACATATCCCCCATTTGTAGCAGTCAATCAAAACAGCCTAAACCCAAGTTCAGTTCCGGAAAATGGCGTCAATACCCAACAGACGAGCGTCCGACTATCTGCAACATTCCACACATAATTTACGAGATCTTCCCTTAACCTTGGCGTGCATAATGTATAGACATCAGGCCTCCATCACATAACTCACTGAATACGGTCAACCTTCTACTAGAAGTAAACTTTGATACACGAAAACTACTCTTATTAGCAACGTAGTAAAGTTCTATTTAGGTTGATGGAATCACAAATGTCTAGGGAAGCTGATTTATAGCAAGACGATGTGATCTGTAGTCACTGCAGATTGGAGATGAGCTAATGAATAAATAAATCTGTCATTTATATTTTCTGCCTTGTGGTAGCCATTCGGATCTGATACAAATCATGTTTTTGTAGCTTTGGTGATTTTTTAAACAAAAATACTTTTGCACGGAGTGTAAAAATACTGGTTTAAAGAAAGATTGAAGTTATTGTGTAGCACAAAAAGGAAGTTATGATAAAATTGGGTACATCTAGCATATCCTTAAGTTAATTATTATACTACTATATAGAGTAGCAGCGCGACAGTCACCGCGTCATATGTAGTGAAATGCTACTCATGAATATGAGACCTTACTATGCCTTGAAACTAGCCGAATTCTTTATCAAACACTTACGTAGAGTAAGTAAAAAAAAAAACCTGTCTCACGAAAGTTATAATATAAAGGTTCCTAAGTACCTTAAAGTAGAAAAAGAAAGAAGATATTCCTTCTTAACTTATACTTTTTAACAACTTTCACAGTAAGACAGTTGCTGACGTTTCTTACAAAAAATTAAAGATACCTATTTCTTTCTTCTATGAAAACAATCTGTGTAGATTGTAGACATAACCTACAAAATCGTCCACCACGTCCGGCATGTTTATTATTCCAAATTACGTTGTAAGCCCCCTTAAGAAGTCACAGGTGTCAGTTTGTCGGCCATAACAGTTCTGTTCAAAAGCTTTCCGATAAAAAAGGCTCTCGCCCATGAAAAAGGTTACTAAAGTTTTTATAGGAAGATGCTAAAAACGGTCAATGGCCATTGACAATAAGAGCGATTGCTTAAAATGAACCATTTGATATTTTTCTAAAGGTTACCTGTTTAAGAACCTTCGTTTTATATGTACCCAAAAGTGAAGACTAGAAGTATTTTGTATATTTTTGTTTGTGACTAATTAAGAATGCATTTTTTCACCGAAGACTTCTTCGCAGTACCGTCTTAACCATAAGGGCACTCGGGGTTCGTGAAGCCGCCCCGAAGGCCCGACAATTTCTACGACACGTCTGCTACTCGTTGTGCGACAACTGTGTGCACTGCGACGTGTAGCGCGTTCGATCCCGCACGGATCAAATCTTTATGTGATCCACATATGTTTGTGTCGGGTCAGGGTGTCATGTGTATGTGAACTTATATGTTTATGAATACGCCAATGATACAGGAGTAAATCCTAGTATGGTGTAATGTTAAAAAATAGAAACATTATACAAGGGCCCTGAATTAAGACGGCTCTGCTTCTTCGCCTTGAACAAGCTATGAAATTACACTTTGGAACGAGCGCTTAACTTCACTGACAGACAGACCAATGGACGGACAATTCAATTTTTGACGTTACAAAAGTGCATAAATAAGGATTATTTCAAATAAATGCTTTGACTTTGACTTTGCCATTTCTATTCTTCTCTTCTGCCAGATGATATAGAACGGATTTATTATGTATGTGTATGTGCACCAAGCCGATGAAACAAAGCTGTGGATTCAAACAGTTCAATCTATCCACAGATATTTGTATAATCAACAGATTTATCTGCTGGCTTTGGACGTTCTACAAACAGAGCAGCTTCCATAATACAAGAAAACACAACATTCTAATGCCAATTTAACTTTTCTAGAATATTCCTAAACTGTACTGTCAACGGTATTATGTTAAAAGCTTTTAATTCAAGGGCATTTTTTCAACGACGGCTACTTTTGTATTCCCCAGATTCTCATTATAACGCTCCCTAATTCTTTCATTTCCACATTTTTATAAAGATATTTTGTTAAGAAGGATTATTTGAGCCAACGGTGAATGAAAAGAAAAATTCATTTATGAGTTTCGTACTAGAAAAGAGGGATTGTCCCTGTAAGGAATCTCCAGGCATAGTATTAATTTTGAATAATCTGGATTCTTTCTAATGATAAAATGTAAGCCTCTTGAAAGTTCGTTAAAAAGATTTTAAGTCGTGGAAATCGTATTATTTGTATCATTAAATCTTTTAGTATCTTCACTGACTTGAATTCCAAATCTTGTCCAGATTTATTTAGTCTTTGCAATAATTATTCCGCATTTTTAACCTACTTTAAAAACGGAGGTTGTCAGTTTGACCTACACGCATGTTTGTTCGCGAATATCTCGCGATTGGCAGAACCGATTTACTTAGAAGAAGGTTTTAGTAAATTCATTAATCGACTTCAAAAATAAGGGGGTGCAATTCGATGTTTTAAACGTTGCTTATAAAAGAAACATTCTGAGACATAAACCATTTACTGGAGTGGTTTCCAAACATAAGTGGATTGTAGTCGTACAAGATTCTTGTTTATAACTAGTCAGACTTTGGTGTTTCTGAGTTGGAATTACTTGTTCTCCAAGGCACGGAAACGCCATGGAAACGTTGAGTAGCCCATTCACTCGAAACTTAACTTATTATCTGATTCACAGTTAACAGCTGACGGTGTTCATAGTTGCCGTTATCTCTCCTTTACAACGTACACAAACTTAGTTCTAATTAACTTTGCTTTTGTAGCTTTGCGTTAATTTTTTTTACTATTTGTTCGCATCATAAACGAGGATTGCACGCGATTGCTTTGTATTTGAATATATGACAATTAATTGGAACTGTTTTTTTTGTTTAAGCTATGTATATGCTGGTGGGGAAGTAGGATACGGATTCACAATTATTGTGATTACCACCCTTTGCTAGGCGCCTTCTGAAGGTTTCAGCTAACTCTAGCTTTTTTTGGGAGAAAGACTAGAGTATGCGATTTTTACCTCACTATAACCACTCCGGTGGCCACCCATAACACCTGTAAGAGGCACCGGGTCCTCTTAAAGACCTGCTTCGGAGCCCCCACAGTGCAACGCCTGTTAAGGCACATCCCTTGGGAGACTGATGTTTCCGTTGAGCCTCGGTGTACACGGCGGTACGTAACCACTGTGCCACCGTTTTCCCTGAAGCCAGTGGATGGGTGCATAGAGTGGGGACTTTAGTTGGCCCCAAAGGTCTGCCTGAACTTCATGCAGGCGGGATTCGGTGTATTAAACTTCTAGTACTAATGCGAGTGTATCTAACAGCGATCGGGCAGCACCGCTGTCTGTTAAACCTAAACCTTTAAACAGCGATCTCCATCTACCAAGCATGGAGATTAACATAACATCACGCTTTTTATCCTATTATGGCACTTAATGCCACTGTACAATCTAACACTCACTTTTCACTACTTACGTTTTGAGTTCCATGTAATAGGGGGCAGGCCTATAACCGGGTATACCGCGGGTACAATTCCATACTCCATGTTACTACTGAGAATTTTTAAAAACCCCAGTAATACTTCGCAAGTCTCGAGAATTGAACCCGAGACCCCTTGCCCTACAGTCGTACTTGCGATCACTCGGCCAACGAGGCCGGGAGATTAATAATGTCAACCAGGTCTTATGTAAAGAAGACCCACACTCCAGCAATAGACGGTCATCAAACTTTTGACATTGTTCTAAAAAGGCTTCAATTCTTTAAACAATACTAATTACGACTTCCGTAACCAAACAATATTAAATCATGCCAT